CCTTGATAGAAACTTCATGCATTTTTTGAGTAGCTGCATACAAAAGTTGCGTAAAATCTGAATCCATTTACTAAATAGAAACACAACAAATAATGAATATTAAATTGATTAATAAGCATTGTCCATTTTCTACTCAGTATTGGCAACTATTAATGAGAACATTAATATTAGATAGTAACTGGATAGAGGTCTAGCAAAACTGCATACATTTCTACCAGGGAGAAAACATCCATATATTTATTTATTTATTTTCACAATAAAGTAATAATAAGTTGATAGAATTATTAAAAATCGATTGAAAAGAAAACTTTTTTTAAGAATAATATTGGGCTGTCCGGAAAGTTCGTGCGATTTTGAAGGAAAATTGAAACAAGAAGAAGATTCAAATTTTAGTATATATTTATTAAATTTAAATTTTTTGCGGCACGAACTTTCCGGACAACCCAATAATTGTCTAAGAGAAAACAGTTGCTCACTTCAAACGAATACGAATTTATACCGTTCTATCGTGCGCACCGGGAAAATCATGTCGATCAACGGGATCGAGATCCGAGTGCTTCGTTAAAAGGTCGCGGGCGGTCGTTTGCATAAGTCTCGTGTTCCGCTGGCTGATGAACCACGACGAGGAGATTTTACGTGATTGTCGACACGCTTTCAATGGTGATTGAGAAGTGACGGGTTTTCTCATATCGTTCTGTTTCTTACATTACCAGCAAGCTATTTGCGATATTGTGAGAAAAAAAGACAAGAGAAACATGCATTAAATGAATGCATTTCAATCTGCAGAAAATCATGATGTCTGAAAGTGAGAATCAGTGTATTATTATTGAAAAACAGTAAATATTCACTAATGATTATATCAGTTATAAGTGTAGCATTGAATCGCTGATTCACTTTTAGAAAGTATATTATATATTTTTTTATATTCTTTAAACTAACTTTCATTTTTAAAGTTTGAATATTACTTGTAAAAAATTCGATTCTTTAAAAACTGCCTTATATAAGAGTTATATAAATATATTTCAAATTTCGCAGATATTCACATTCCCAAATTAACTAATCGGGATTGATTATTTCGCAAGTACAATGTATATGAGATAGTATTTCTCATAAATATTACTCGAAAGAAAATGAAGCTTGAACATTTAATTTTTAAGTACACATTGAATTTGATTTCATCCCTAGTAATATTGGTTAGGTTCCTAATAATAGCGGCAAGCAATTACTTGGCCTAAGATATTGTAGTAACGAATAAATCATAAACTTCATGGCCCCTTTAACAGAGTGACAAAGTAAATTTACTACGCGATTGTTATCGAGGATAACTCGTTGAAGGACCATTAATTGCAGCAAAAGGGGAAAAATTGCATGCTGATCCCTCACGAAACTGCAGGACGAGAAAACGGATTACTCCTACACGCCCTTCTATTAACCCTCCTTCGTTTTCGTAGTTAAAGACCGTGGAAGCTCAGTGTGATTTACTTATGAAATGAAGCGACGCTCGATATCGCGCCCGGCCGAGAGAAGTTTCCTTAATGACCGCCGCGAAATGATCATTAACGATCGTTAGTTAGTCGCTCCCGCAAGCATGAATATACTCGGGTTGAAATACGTTCTCGTCAATTTGCACCGCGACGTTCGCGATTTGAAAACTGAGCGCAGGCGTTCCCGCTCACGCGCGCTCGCATAAATAATTGTGCAAACATTAAGCGATCGTAATTATCGCGATATTACGAAAGAACGCTGCGATCCGCAGTGGAGCGTTACAAATGGCACGACGAGTTGTCGACTTAAGGAGGTATACAAATGTATATAATTAGTGTAGTCACGAGACGATTAACCAATGAGAGGTCTTATTTATCACGAGGACGAGAGATAAATGGTTTGATTTGTGCAAAGTAAAATCTATTTAAGCGATGGAAACCTGCGATGAAGGAAGAACATATCATTCTGATAAATGTCAAAAGTCTCAGACGAGGTGTCGCGATATTTCCGCGTCTGCATCTCCCAAGCTCTCACCATCAAAATTTTTCCATTCCTCCGCATTATATGAGAGGAACAATGGCACGTTTCCGCGATGACACATCGACGATTGGGAAGATGAAAGAAGGCACGCGGGTGCCTACGCGCCCGTCTACGTGCCTGATGTCATCGTGTAACGGATGTACGGTGATCACCTCGCTACCGCCTCGATCGCCGTAGCTTTTCTGCCTTCGGAAACTGTTATTAAGACAGGACCAAGTCGGTCAACAACGGTTATCAGGTGACGGCGCTCCTCGATAGCTTGTTCGTCACAGGACAAAATTTTCCCAACCATATGATAGAACGGTATAATATCATATTCGTTTGAAGTGCGCAGATATTTTCTCTTGGAGAATTCTGAGCGTTTAAAAAAAATATTGTCTATTTTTGAAATACGTTATTTTGTAATATATTTTTTTAAATATTTTTAATAATTTTACCAATATGTTATTATTTTATTATAAAAATTAATAAATAAATAGCGGATGCTTCCTCCTTCAGCGAGCGCTTAAAAAAATTTGTTTGAAGTAAGCAGTTTTTTCTAGGGAATTCTGAGTCTTTCTAAAAAAATATTGTATTTTTTTTAATATATTATTTTCTAATATATTTTAATAATATTTCTAATAATTCTAACTTATTATTATTTTATCGAAAAAAATCAATAGTGAATGGTTTTTCCTAAAGCACTTAAAAAAAATATATATATATATACATATTCACATACATTTTTTCAAACCAGAAATATTTAATAATTTATTAACTTTTGTCATGACTATTTCTAAAATACCTCACAAGTTGCTAATAATAATCTTCGTCGATCGAAAGAGATTCATGTTGTTTGCTCACGTAGACAATCATCAATAAGAGTTATAGTGAATATCTCGTGAGACATTTAATCTCTGTGGGAACTGCTGTTTCACCTCGATTATATGCTCATTTATAAGACACGTAGTATCTGGATTGTTAGCGTTTATGCAGATTGCGATATTCATTTCAGAAACGGTATGAGAATGCGTAGATGACAGTACGTTGGGTAAGTTAGAACGAACGAGACAACTCTCGCAAGACTTAGCGGCACTCCTTCGGATTTCTCAATCCGGATGTGTCGTTTATTACGGGGACATCCCGTCGTGATTCTTCTCTTGTTTCCTCTCACTGCTCATTATGAGAGATGGCCAGAAATATCGCATCATTATTGATTTTTTAAAAATAATGTTTCAAAGCCTTCAGATTAATAAAATGATCGCTGCACGTGTAGCTCATGTTACTTTCTGTTTATCGTTACCACGCGCATGGCTCTTCATATCTCAACATCAATTTTCATTATTAAAATCGTTGCAAGAGAAGTAGGCTTATGCATTATGTAAAATCATTACATAATATGTTTTAATAATGCTACAGGATCCCAAGGGTGTATTGCAATAATTAGAAGCATTTTTGTGAAATGGAATTTTACTCGTGGCGTGTAATATCTGCTCTTTGTATGTATGAATAAAAATCCGCGACGCTTCTTCTCTTTTATTCTATTATATTCACGGTTCATTGTGCTCCAAACAAAAGACAATACCCGCATTCTGCACCCGAATAGGAATGGTCGAAATTTTACGAATGAACGAATATAATTGCACGGAACTCATCTTCGTCTTTCCTCTTAATAATGAAATCACGGTATCTTTGCCATTTCGTTTATTAAATTTTTCCATTCGGAAAACGGCTTACGGCTTCGAATCAAAGAAGAGATAGTCGTATTGTGCATCCATCATCCATGATTTGCAAACAAAGCATATCCGTAGACAGCACGTGCATCGAAATTTTCGATTTTAATTATTTGCTTTTAATTTTTGTGTGATCGGGGATGCTGTAAAGTTAATGTTCAAGGAATGTCAAGTAGGTTATGTGTCAATTTTCTATAAAAATCACCTGATTCTACCACTCTAATTTAACTTTGCGGCCGAGATTTACGGTCAGTTGCTCGATCGATGCTGGAAACACATTCCCCGATAATAGCGGGTCGAATGAAGAGGGTGCTTTAACTCTTTGTGACCTTATGTTGCGCTGCACGTGATGTTGTGCTTTATCATGAAAGTTATCGTCGTTGTCATCGTGCATGAAAGCTTCAAGTAATCGAAGTCACGAAGATTACGAGCGTGGTATTTAAAGTTTGAAAAAGAATTCATTTATACGAGAGAGAAAGAAGAGAGAGATAAAAGTAAATCGCTATTTATTGTGTGTTTTAGGAAGAACGTACATTCCTTTAAGTTGCTTCTTTAATAAATCGAGTTACCATGGAAATGTCTAATTTTTTATATAATGAAGTATCGAAATTGATGTGTGAAAATTCTACGATAGAT